TTTGGAAGAAAGGAAAGTCTGTTTAGCATGTGAGAAGGTAGAGCCTTTGAAATAGGAAGCGTAGCCAAGACAAGAAAAGGAATTATGAAGTGGAAATTTCTGATTCAAGGAACTGAGAATCACAAATGCAGAGAGCAGAGAGAGAGCAGAGAGCAGAGAGAGAGAAAGAGAGAAAGAAAGAGAGAGAGAGAGAGAGAGAGAAAGAGAGAGAGAGAGAAAGAGAGAGAGAGAGAAAGAGAGAGAGAAAGAGAGAAAGAGAGAGAGAGAAAGAGAAAGGAGAGAGAAAGAGAGAGAGAGAGAGAGAGAGAAAGAGAAGAGAGAAAAGAGAGAGAAAGAGAGAGAGAAAGAGAGAGAGAAAGAGAGAGAGAAAGAGAGAGAGAAAGAGAGAGAGAAAGAGAGAGAGAAAGAGAGAGAGAAAGAGAGAGAGAAAGAGAGAGAGAAAGAGAGAGAGAAAGAGAGAGAGAAAGAGAGAGAGAAAGAGAGAGAAAGAGAGAAAGAGAGAGAAAAGAGAGAGAGAGAGAGAGAGAGAGAGAGAGAGAGAGAGAGAGAGAGAGAAAGAGAGAGAAAGAGAGAAAGAGAGAGAGAAAGAGAGAGAGAGAGAGAGAGAGAGAGAGAGAGAGGAGAGAGAGAGAGAGAGAAATAAGAACACTTTTCTTGACAGGGAAAGCATGACAAGAAAAGTAGTGAATGTACATGCCACTGTGCATAGGCTTGCGGTACACGGAAAAAGTAAAACCTGTATCTGAGCGGTGGACATGAATATCAAGGAAAGGAAGCAAAGAATTAGATTACCATTCAGCTTTAACCCTTTGAGAGTTTCGGACGTGCTAGTACGGCTTACGCGCAGGGGGTTTTGACGTACTAGTACGCATAAATTCTAGCGCCATCAAATCTCACAGGAAAAGGCTGGTAGGCCTAGATGTGAGAGAATGGGTCTGTGTGCATGGTAGAAAAAAAATCTGGGACCCAGTGGTGCATTGTGGGAATGCCATCTTAGTAAACAATGTCCACCATGCCTCGCGGTAAGAAGTTCCTCACTCCTCGGCGAATTGGGACACTTTTGTTCCCCAGTGACAGTTCTAATACAGATGGAAGTGCCAGTGAAGATGAGTTTCAAGGTTTTGGTGAGGTTTTGACCGAAACTAATGACCATAATATCAGTAATAGTGAGGAAAACCCAGACGACCCTCAGCATTCCACCTCTGGTGCTGGGCAGTCTTGTTCACGTTCAGTTGTACCAGAAGCAAAGAGGAAACTCCTATTTTCCCAAATCCCAGACTCAGATGTGAGCATTTGTGATGATAGTGATTATGAACTACAAGCTCTTGAAAACAGTTCTAGTAGTGATAGTGAAGTGGAATATTCCCCAGTGAAGCGTCAGTATATACGACGATATATGCGCTCTGGTAGTATGCCACATGCTATTCCAAGGGGAAGGAGTACATCTCGGAGTACATCCCGTGGCTGTACAACAGGAACAGACAGTGAAAATGACGATGATAGTGTTACAATTGAGATGGAAAATGTGCATGGTGGTGGTAGTGGTGGTGACGGCCGTGAGGCACCAGCAGTGGGACATGCTGCCACCCACGCCGCTGCCTCAGCTGATCTACAACAAAGGCCACCATCCCCCACCCACCCACCACACCAGCCTCCACAACCACAACCACAACCACCTGTCATTATCCAGTACCCACCAGCAGACCACATCTGGGATTGGCAGAAAGCTGTCAATTTTTGTTCCAAATGCCCACCGCCAAAGTGGAATACGGCCATCTTGTACACTTGGGAACAATGCCACTGAACTGGAATGTTTCGAGTTATTCTTTGACGAACCCCTGATCGAAAGTATTGTCATGGAAAGCAACACATACTACAAGTACACCATGGCAAACACAATACTTTCACCAAAATCACGTCTACACCAGTGGAAGGAGGCAACTGTGGCTGAGATGTATCTTTTCTTTGCCACAATAATGCTTATGCCACATGTGTATAAGCACAAAGTGAAATCATACTGGTCAACAGACCGCCTGATTGCAACCCCAGGTTTCAGTGATGTAATGCCAGTGAATCGATTGGGCTAATGTTACATATGCTCTACTTCTCAAACATAACCAGGCCTGACAGAAACGACAGGTTATATAAGATTAGGCATGTGTTTGTGTATCTGAAAGAGAAATTCAATATGTATTTCGATCCCTTCAGGAAGCTTGTAATTGACGAGTCTTTGATTCTGTTCAAAGGAAGACTCTCTTTCAAGCAGTACATACCAAGCAAGAGGAAACGCTTTGGTATAAAGTTCTTTGTGCTTTGTGATTGTTACAGTGGTCTGGTATTGGATATTATTGTGTACATTGGAAGTTATACATTGCAAAATACCAGGAAGTTATTGGGCATCTCTGGTGATGTGGTTAGAACAATGACAGAACCATACCTTGGTAAGGGGCATATATTATATACTGATAACTGGTACACACATAGGTAGTAGGTTGGTAGACAGCAACCGCCCAGGGAGGTACTACCATCCTGCCAAGTGAGTGTAAAACGAAAGCCTGTAATTGTTTTACATGATGGTAGGATTGCTGGTGTCCTTTTTTCTGTCTCATGAACATGCAAGATTTCAGGTATGTCTTGCTACTTCTACTTACACTTAGGTCACAGTACACACACATGTACAAGCACATATATACACACCCCTCTGGGTTTTCTTCTATTTTCTTTCTAGTCCTTATTCTTGTTTATTTCCTCTTATCTCCATGGGGAAGTGGAACAGAATTCTTCCTCCGAAAGCCATGCGTGTTGTAAGAGGCGACTAAAATGCCGGGAGCAAGGGGCTAGTAACCTCTTCTCCTGTATATATTACTAAATGTAAAAGCAGAAACTTTCGCTTTTTCTTTTGGGCCACCCCGCCTTGGTGGGATACGGCCGGTGTGTTGAAAGAAAGAAAGAACTGCTACACAAGCCCCTAACTCAGAGATTTTTTGCGAGTGAACATGACAGATGTGTGTGGCACAGTGCTTGTAAATTGTAAACATATGCCCAGGTTTGACGCTGGCACTCGTAGAGGTGAGGTGCAGGCGTTTGCTGCCAATGACATCATGGCATTTCGGTGGCATGACAAACGAAATGTCACACTGTTGTCATCAGTTCACCCTAATTAAATGGCAGACACTGGCAGGCAGCATAGAGAGAGCAATGAACCCATTCTAAAACCTGCAGCAGTGATTGATTGCACCTTCAATATGCATTCAGTGGACAAATGTGACATGCAGACTGGGTTTGCTGATTGTGTTCGCAAGAGTTAAAAGTGGTACATAAAACTCTTTTTCCATCTTCTGGACATTTCCATGCTCAATGCTTATAATATGTATAAGATGAGGACCAGAAACAAACCACAATACGGCAAATTCTGTTTGTCTGTCATCAGACAAATAGTACTCAAGTACCAAGGAAGAACACCTGCAATAGACCGCCCACCAAATTATCAACAACTACCTTTTTGTCTAAAGCATGGTGATCACTTCCTGGTAAAACTGCCTGCTACTGCTTTCAAGAAAAAGGCGCAGAAGAGGTGTTACGTCTGTGCACATACAAGAAAATGCCCACAACAACGCAGACACACTCGTTTTATGTGTGAGGAGTGCAAAACTCCACTGTGCATGACACCATGTTTCAAAGACTTCCACAGGCTGCAGAACTTCTAGAAACATTCCCTGTGACTGTATATGTGTATATAAAATATAGAAAAATAGTAATAAACAACATTTTATATCGTTTGTGTGTAAATATTTTTTATAAACAAAACAATGACAACAGTGTTTACGCCCTTATTGTGTAGTATTGAAAAAGAAAAAACTTACAAAATACTGATCATATTGGTCTCACATGTCATAAAAGTTACTTGGAAAAAGAAAAATTAAAAAATAATAGAAATTAGTACATAAGAAAGTAAATAAAAGAATACCGGGAGACGGCAGTCGGCGATGTTGCCACATTGTCCCCTTTTTCATCAACTTCACGCCTCCATCTCTCGGTAAGCATTGATAGTAAAACTTTTTGTTTAGCCTATAATATTTAAAAAATATATATATTTTTTCATAAGATTTTTTTTTTTTTTTTTTTGAAATTTGCCCGACCCTGAGAACGAGTCTCTGAGAGGACCTGTCAACCCTCAAAGGGTTAAACTTAATGGAAGGGGGCAAAATTACTAAGGATGATAATTTACAGGACACATTTGGGGTAATGCTTATTCTTAGAAGACTTTTCCCTGACTTATTCTGTTAGTCCATCCTTCCAATAGTTAGTACTCTCTCAGTGGTCTCCTCTTTCCATCTGCCTCCTAGTTTCAGTAATTATTTTTATTTGGCTGAATTCTAATAACTACTTCCAATAATAAAATTAAGGAAATCAGGCAATCAATAATTTACAATGACAAAAACTAAAGCAAACAATTAATCAATGGAGCGAAACAGAATGACTTCAAGAGTGTATCAGTCTGTAGTGGAAGGAAGGCGGGGTAGGGATCAGCCTAGGAAAGGTTGGAGGGAGGGGGTAAAGGAGGTTTTGTGTGCGAGGGGCTTGGACTTCCAGCAGGCATGCGTGAGCGAGTTTGATAGGAGTGAATGGAGACAAATGGTTTTTAATATTTGACGTGCTGTTGGAGTGTGAGCAAAGTAACATTTATGAAGGGATTCAGGGAAACCGGCAGGCCGGACTTGAGTCCTGGAGATGGGAAGTACAGTGCCTGCACTCTGAAGGAGGGGTGTTAATGTTGCAGTTTAAAAACTGTAGTGTAAAGCACCCTTCTGGCAAGACAGTGATGGAGTGAATGATGGTGAAAGTTTTTCTTTTCCGGGCCACCCTGCCTTGGTGGAAATCGGCCAGTGTGTTAATAAAAAAAAAAATAAAAAAAAAAAAATAAAAAAAAAAATTAAACTGTGTACACTCCACTATTAATATTAAAAACGTATTACCCACACAAAAAAAAACATACTTACATGCAAAATTTAGATTTAAGTTCTTGACGCTGGTAACAGTTGGCTGAAACACCTTCTCAGTTGTAATCTAACAAAGAAATTCTTATATTACTTCCAGTTTCATATGACAAGGTATGCAAAACTAAAGCTAACTCTCTTTTTTTTCCAACACAACAGCCATTTCCCACAGAGACAGGGTGACCCAAAAAATAATCATGTTCACCATCATTCACACAATATCACTGTCTTTGCAGAGGCACACAGATATGACGTCACTCCAAACAGACAATATCCTCCTTTACGGTGGAGGCATTGTACTTCCCATTTCCAGGACTCAAGTCCAGCTAACCAGTTTCCCTGAATCCCTCCACAAAATATTACCCTGCTCACACTCCAACAGCTCGTCAGGTCCCAAAAACTATTCATCTCCATTAACTTATATCTAACATGCTCACACATGCCTGCTGCATGTCCAGGCACCTTGCACACAAAACCTCTTTTTCCCACCTCCCTCAATCCTTTCCTAGGACAACCCCTACCCCTCCTCCCCTCCACTACAGATTTATACACCCTCCAAATCAACCTATTTTGCTCCATCCTCTCTGACCAAACTACCTCAATTACCCCTTTTCAGCCCTCTTAACAATACTTTTAGTAATGCCACATCTCCTAATTTCCACGCTACAAATTATCTGCATAATATTTACATTACACACTTCCCTAAGACACACTTTTCCACTATCCCCACCCTTTTCACTGCAACATTCAAACCCTCCTCACACCCTTTAAACATTTTGGTCCACTTACTCTCACATATCCTTTCTTTGCCTCCAGGGGAAACTTTTTTAGTCTCCACAGACCCTAAAACACACTTCCTTTTTTTTTTTCATCAATTCTAGGGTTAACTTGTCCTTCAAAAAACCACTCTAAAAACCTACCCCAAAATTTCTGAACACTTCCTTCTTCCAAATCCCTCTCTCTAATGTGAACCCAAATTTCTTTACCAAAACTCTTTGTACCCTCTTTCACCTTACTCTTCCCTATTTCAATTTAAACTTTCTTTACAACACCCTATCTAGAAATTTATATTAATGTTTTATTTTCTCAAATTTTTTTTTCACTAATGGGGTGGCCCCAGGTACAATCTCTCCCAAACAATTCTATCAAAAAAACCTTAAACAAAAATGAAAGGGTGGTTGGGGCCCTCCAACAAATGAAGCCTTTTAATTTTAACTAGGAAATTTAAAAAAAAAATTAAAGTTAAACAAGATAGACAAAAAAAAAGCAAATAAATGCAAAGTGAACAATACTTTAGGGTTTTCCCGGTTTAACTTTTTTAGTACCTAAGTATACTGAGGGGTGTCATTTTCTCCTTGTCTGGTTGTCTCTTAGCAGATGACTTCGAGCCCCTCCAATTCTGCACTTGGGGTATGAGTTGAACTGTTGCGCATTGTAGGTAAGGTTTTGGGTTTAAATAGTCCAATTTAAACAAGGCAAAAAACAGAAAGGGAAGGTTAAAGCCCAGTACCTGAATCAGGCAAAAAATTAGCGTCAGAAAGAGATTCCTGGGAAAAGGGTCCCCAGTCATTCAGGAGGTTTTCAGTCCCCCACCCCAAAACTGGTCACCCAACTGTTGCAATGACCACTAAGGAAAAACACATAAGTTGGGAAAAGGACCAGACTTTTCAATGTCTTCCCTTCATACAAAAGCAATTACCAACAACCCTTGGGCCCTCTTTACACAAAAAAAAAAAAAAAAAAAAAAAAAAAAAAAAAAAAAAAAAAAAAAAATTTCTCAAGCAGTCCCTATCCCAGGCTGTGTTTTCTTTTTTTGGGCTTTAGTGGCTAGCACAAACAATTGTTTGTTCAGGCCATCCACCCGGGGATGCTGACCATCAGAAAATTCCAGAGGGGGCAGTTTTTGTACTACCTTTGAGGTTTAGGGGTTAGTCCAGCCCCCCGGACCCCCCCTTTTTCATGGCGCTACTAGGCCCTCCCCAACAAGGCACTACCCCTTGCTTTAAAACATGTTTGGGTCCTGCCCCCCATACATCGCTTCCCAAAATATTCCACTTTTGACTACTCTGTGGCTGAAGAAATACTTCCTAACTTCCCATGATTTACTCTGTCTTCAATTCCAAAATTTTCCCCCTTTTTGCGTTCCCCATCTCTGGAACATCCCGTCTTTGTCCACCTTGTCAATTTCCCCTCAGTATTTTGTATGTCGTTATCATTCCCCCCCATCTCTCCTGTCCTCCAGTGTGTCAGGTTGATTTCCCCTTTAACCCCTCCTCGTAGGACAAACCTCTTAGCTCTGGCTATTTTTTGCAAAACCCTTTTTAAATTTCAAAAGTTTCTTCACTGCTTTTGGGTAGGGGTGGGGTTCCAAACTGGGCCGCAAACTCCCAAAATGGGCCTAAAGTACACGGTGTACAGGGGCCGAATGCCTTATTAAAGGGTGTCGGAAGCGTTCTGAGGTTTGCCGGCGCCCATATGTGCAGCGTTTTTTTTTCCTTGTGTGGTTTGGGGTGTGTTGTGGTGTGTGGTGTGTGGGTGTTGTGTGTTGTGTGTGTTGGTGTGTTTTTGTGTGTGTGTGTAGTTTGTGTTTGTTGTGTTGTGTGTTGTGGTGTGTGTTGTGTGTGTTTAATGTGTGTAGTTTTGTGTGTGTGGGGGGTTTTGGTGTGTGTGTTTTGTGTGTGGTGTTGTGTGGTGTGTGTGTGGGGTTTGGGTTTTGTTTTTGGGTGTGTGTGTTGGGGTGTGTGTAGTGTGTGTGTGTGTGGGTGTGTTGTGTGTGTTGGGTGTAGGGTGTTGTTGTTGTTGTGTGTGTGTGGTTGTGTAGTGTGTGGTGGTTTGGTGTGGTTTGTAGTGTGGTGGTGTGGTGTGTTGTGTGGGTGTGTGTGTGTGTGTTTGGGTGTTGTGTGTGGGGTGTGTGTGGGGGGTGTTTGGGTGTGGGTGGTGTAGGGGGTGGGTTTTGTGTTGTGTAGTGGTGTGTTTTGTGTGTTTAGTGTGTGTGTGTGTGTATTGGGGTGTGGTGTGTGTGTGTGTGTGTGTGTGTGGGGTGTGTGTGTGAGTTTTTGGGGTGTAGTGTGTGTTGTGTAGTGTGGGGTGTTTGTGGGGTGTGTGTGTTTGTGGATGGTGGTGTGGAGTGTGTGTGTGTGAGTGTGTGTGTGTGTGTTGTGTTGTGGGGGTGAGTGTGTGTGGTGTTTTTATGTGTGTGAGGTTGGGTTTTTGTGTGTGTGTGTGTGTTGTGTTTTGTGTTGTTGTGTGTGTAGTGTTTAGTGTGTTGTGAGTGGTGGGTGTGTGTGTGTGGTAGTGTTGTGTGTGTGGGGTGTGTGGGGGTGTGTGTGGGTTTTGTGTGTTTTGTGTTGTGTTGTGTGTGTGTGTGTTGTGTGGGGTTTTGTGGTTGTGTGTAGTGTGGTGTTGTGTAGTGTTGTGTAGGTGTGGTGTAGTGTGGTGTAAATGTTGTAGTGTGTGTTGTGGTGTGGTGGTGGTGTTGGTGTGTGTGTGTGTGTGTGGTGTGTGTGTGTGGGGTTGTTGTGTGGTGTGTGTTTTTGTTTATTTTTTTATGTGGTGTTTGTGGTGGTGTGAAATGTGGTGGGTAGTTTGTGTGTGTTTTGTTTTTGTGTGTAAGTGTTTTTGTTTGTGTGTGTGTGGATGTGTGTGTTCGGTGTTTGTGGGTTTGTGTGTGAGTGTGTGTGTGTGTGTGTGTGGTGTGTGTGTGTGTGTGTGTGTGTGTATGTGGGTTGTGTGTGTGTGTGTTATGTGTGTGGTTTTGTGGGTGTGTGTAGTTTTGTGTGTTGAGTTGTGTTGGGGGTTTTTGTGTGGTTTTATTGTGTGTGTGTGTTGTGTGTGGGGTGTGTAGGGGTGTTAAATGTGTGTGTGTGGTGTGTGTAGTGTGGTGGTGGGGTGTGGTGGGGGGTGGTTGTGTGTGTGTGTTGTGTGTGTGTGTGTGTGTGTGTGTGTGTGGTGTTGTGGTGTTGTGGGGTTAGGGGTGTGTGTGTAGGGGTGTGGAGTGTGTGGGGTTTATTTTTATTGGGTTGTGTGTTGGGGTGTGTAGTTGTGTGTGTTGGGGGTGTGTGTAGTGGGTTTTTTGGGTGGGGTTAGGGGTGGGGGTGTGTTGTGTGGTGTTGGGTGTTGTGTGTAGTGTGTGTGGTGGTGTGTGTGTGTGGGGGTGGGGTGTGTGGGTGGTGTGGTGGGTGTGTGGGTGTTTTGGGGTGTGTGGTGTGTGTGGTGGGTTGTGTGTTTGTTTTGGTTGTGTGTGTGTGGTGTGGTGTGTAGTTGTGTGTGTGTGGGTGGGTGGTGTTTTGGGGTTTGTGGGTGTGGTGGTGTGGTGTGGTGTGTGTGGGTGGTTGTGTTGGTGTAGTGTGTGTGTTTGGGGGTGTGTGTTTGGGGTGTGTGTGGGGTGTGTGTGGTTGGATGTTGTGTGGTGGTGTAGGTGGGTGGTGGGTGTGTTTGTTTGTGGGTGTGGGGTGTAGTGTTGTGTGTGGAGTGTGGTGTGTGTGAAAGGGTGTTGTTGTATGTGTTTTGTGGGTGTGTGGTGTGGTGTTAGTGTGGTGGTGTGTAGTGGTGGGTGTGGGTGTGTGTGTGTGTGTGTTGTGTGTGGGGTGTGGTGTGTGTGGTGTGGGGTTTTTGGTGTGTGGTGTGTGTGTGTGTGGTGTGTGTTGTGGAGTGTTGGTGTAGTGTGTGGGTGGTGGGGTGGGGTGTGGTGTGTGGGTGTGTGTGTGTGTGGTGGTTGGGGGGGGGGGTAGGGGGGGTGGGGGGTGGTGGTGGTGGGGAGTGGGTTGGGGGGTTTGGGTGTGGGTGTGTGTGGTGTGGTGTGTAAAGTTGGGTGTGTAGGGGGTGGTGTGGGGGGTGTGGGGGTGTGTGTTGGGTGGGTGGGGTGGGTGTGGGGGGGGGGTGGTGTGGGGGGGTGTGTGGGGGGTGGAGTGGGGTGTGGGGTGGATGGTGGGGTGTGTGGTGTGGGGGGGGGTTGGGGGGGGGGTGGGTTTGGGGGGGGTTGGGTTGGGGGTGGTGGGGTTTTTTGTTAAGTGTTTTGGTTTTTTAATGTTGGGGGAGGGGTTGTTTTTTGGGGTAGTTTGTTTGATTTTG